CTTACAAAATCCGATTCCTTAGGCTGGAAATAATACTGAAACTCATAACACTTCCGCTACAAAGGATTGTGTTTGACCCGCCTCTAAACGACCGATGTCCTCCAGGTTACAGATTCAGCTGTCATCATGCAGAAACATCGTAGTCACTGTTACAAAACATTCAATGTATGTCAATTGTTTTTAATCTCCTACAGAAGGAATGCTGCAGGTCTCTTTTCACTCCTTATCTAAAACGTTTAGTTTTTGACGTCACAGGCAAAATTCGCATATTCCTAACTTTGTAAACGTTATAAACAATGCCATTTTTTAAAAGCTCTTCTCTTTCATTTTTATTAAAAAAATTGTCGATCATATGGTTATTTCATACCGAACTCACAATATTCTTTAATTGTTTTGAGCAGCGTAGGAAAAAAAGTGGCATGTCATCTCAGAAAAGTGCGATTTTGTGTTAAAATGTGTATGTTAGAACGATATATATAAATCTAATATATATGCCCGATGTCGCGCATTCGAGACATAAAAATCACAATTTGAATTTCACAAATCGTCTTCCTGAATAAAACTCAACCCACTTAAATTCTTTTTAAGTTGGTGTACTTCTTAATGATAAATCTTGTGATTCATATATCACTGAAGAAGCGCTTTCCCTTTTTTGAGAATATAATGAAATAGATTTTTGAGCGGTTTATTTATTCTTTTCATTTCAATTTGAGACTTTTTAGCGCTAATAAATTCAAAAGAAAGAATAATAGGTTTTAGAGAAATAAATATGTAAATTTTTAAAAATATTGTAATAATGTAGAAATCTGAAATATTTACGCAATTCAAACAGAAATTAATAATTTAATCACTTATTTGCTCATTTGTCAACTATAAAAAAAAATTATACTCTTAAAGTACTTCTACTATTATGCAGGCAATGCACAACAGACAGCAAAATGTGATGTTGATATTTATGGGTAGACGTTTAGGTCACATCTAAAACCAACTTTTTTATAACTGCTGTCTATTTATAAACTAAAACTTCACTTTTGGGAGGAGCTGCAGCCCGTTCAGCTTACCTCTGAATACAGCCATGCTCTTAGATGATGTAGATACACTGCATTGTTTTTCGATTTGGTCTTTGTATATACTAAATATCTGTTGTAAATACTAAATATAGGTCTTTTTTTTTAAGTGAGAAACTTAGGTTTGGCAATTACATTATGTTATTAAGGTATTTGTCACCCATGTGATTCAATGTAATTTGAATTAATCTTCCACGAATGATGTCACAAATAATACTAGCTTTCATAGTGATACCATTCAGTAAGTTTTAAAGTGAAGGTTTCCTATTTAAATACACATTCCTGATTTTAAAGATCAGTATGCATTTGCTTCCATTTTCAATCTTTGCAATCCAAATACACAACTTGGCAAATGTTACATGCAGCAATATATTTTTGCTAAAATTACCAGCCATTGGTGTTTCATAGACAACTGACACATATTACAGTGAACAGGGAAAGAATTAAGGGGAAAAAATTGAAGATCACTCGCTTTAGAATAGTTTCACAGAGATACTAAGGAAAATTAATTTGTCTTCATATTATACATGGTAAACCATAGGAAGCATCTCATTTTGCTATGTATTAAATCTGTAAGAAATTAAAATTTTTTTGTATTTCATTTTAGTCAACTAGTTGCAAAAGTATAACACAAAAAGGATAAGCAATATTATCCAAATACTTTAAATGTGTTAAATAGTCAAGAAATATGTAAAATTATACAGCACAGATATATAAGGTTTTTCAGGACATCTGATTTTATTTTTTACATTTACAAACACAGGATAACTAAAAATGAAAGGAGAATGTTCAAAATTTATTTACAAATGTTGTACATATCTAGAAATAATGCTTTAGAATCCTGTTGGGGAGAATCTACAGTTTTGCAAGAAAGATTTAAAACCTGATTCCTAACTAAAACTTATTTCAACGTGCACACACATGTTCATGCGAGACATATATAGCTGTCTCTCTTCATCACTGCATCTATAAACATACGTTCTTCTAAATTAACTGAAACAAGTGTATCATGCCATTATTAAGTGAAGCACGATCATATAAATATGATTACTGATAAAGTTTATATACGACACTATTTTGTATGAATTTCAACAAGGAAGAAACGCTACAGAAGCATGAACGTTTTTGATGGAGATTCAGTTTCAGACAGAATGTGCAGTAAATAGTTTGAAAAGTCTGAAACATGTAATTCTGACCTTAATGATAAGCCACATTCTATGTGGGCATCTTTGATGGATTAATGATGGATATTATCAATATAGTGATACCTTTTTTGAAAACACCAGAGATTGCAGAAATGCTTAAATCAGCTCAACACCGCATTTTAAACCATACTCAGAAACCAGGAGGCAATCATTTGGAATCTTTATAAGATTGAAGTATAAAGATTCTAAATGGGTGCCTCATGAGTAAAGTGAGAAAAATTCGCATGATCGAGTCATCTCATGCACATCTTTGTTTGTTCGGAACAAGAATGAATCATTCTTAAACTGAATGATAACTGGTGATAAAAAGCGAGTTACTTACGAAAACATCATTAAGAAAAGAGCATATTGTGAAACTGGACAACCTGCCCCATCTACTTCTAAACTGACCTTCAGCCTAATATACAGTGGGATATCCAAGGATAAATACATTATGAGCTTTTGAAAACCTAAAGAAAGGTTCAATTTAAAGCGATACCATTGGCAAATGGATGATTTAAACAAAGAAGTCAAAGAACAGATGTCCGGATTATTCAATAGGAAGCACTTCACACTGCATCATGATAATGCCAGTCCACATGCTGCTATGGCAACTCATCAGAAAAATCAAAGCTAGGCTGAGAAATACTTCTGAGTCCACCAAACTCTCCAGAACTAGAACCCTCCGATTATCTCGTTTCTTTCTTCGAAAAATTTTTTGAATAAAGAAAAATCAAAACTGAAGCTAATGTCAGCCAAGCACTATTTGAGTTCTTCCAATATATGAACAATTTAAAAAAATATTTAAAAATTATCACATTGGTAAAAGGTTATAAGTAACAACAGAAATTTTATTATACAATAATTATTATTAAAAATATAGAATTTGTATTGTTTTCTTTCCCTTCCCAAACCGACAGAATTTTTCAGCAGACCTAAATATATACGAGGGCTGCCTGAAAAATTTTCAACCTCAATATGTAGATCGCATCTCAAATCAATTCAACTAAAGTGTGTGTGTGGGGGAACTTGTTTGGGCATAGCTTGACAACTACCATTCAAAATTTCAGCTATTTGAGTGCAAATTTTTTGTTTGACAATTGCTTGTGAGTTGATGCAACTGTTTTTGCAAAAATGGGGAAAAAAAAAAAAATCAAGTATCATGCTGTTATTAGACAGCTTATGTAATAACACCTACTCAGATTAAAGAGAAGTTGAACACAGTATATGGGGACTTCTGTTAAATTTTGAACAGCTGAATTTAAAAGTTGGTGTACCAGCTTGGATGACGATGAATGTTCAGAATGGCCAAAAACTGCAACCACTGAAGAAAACATCACTAAAATCCACCAAATGGCACTGATGACCATCGAATCAAGGTTAAAGAGATTAGCATGTCCAAAGAATGTGCTTGCCACTTATTTAAAAAGATTTTAGATATTGAACCAAGATTTTAGTGCAAGCTGGATGCAACATTTACACCATCCTGTTGATGCAATAAATGGAGTTTTTCCTACTATTAATCACTGTAGATGAAATCTAGATTCATCACTACAGCCCAGAGGAAAAAAACAAAGTCAATACAAAGGACTGCAAAAGAAGAATCAGCTCCAAAAATGGCAAAAACTGTTCCTTCTGCTGTGAAAGTAATGGTAACAGTTTTCTGGGACAGCCTTGGGATTGTCCCAAAAGATTGTCTTGAAAAGGGAAAACCATTACCAGATCATATTATGCAACATTAACTTGACATGTTGAGGGCAGGAATTATGGGAAAAAAAAAAAAAAAATTTTCACCAAGACAGTGCTCCATCTCCCGCCTCAGCAGTTGGAAGAGCGAATTGAATGAAGTACGATTTGAACTGCTTGACCATCTGCCAGACCCGGCACCAAATTATTTGGGCAGGTTAAAATGATGGAATCATTGCTGGAAGAAATGTATAGACTTACAAGGAGAATATGCCGAAAAATAAAGGTAAGTTTGGAGAAAAGTATCTTTTTTCTTTGTTAGGTCAAAAGCTTTTCAGACAGCCTATATATATATATATATATACAGTACAGTCTTTAATCTGGACCTCAAAGCTACGAACTTTCTGCGCATGCGTAGCGTTTACGCATGTGCATAATATGTTTACGCATGCGTGTTTAATGTATAACGGACGATGGTATAAGCTAGGCTAAAATTATCTATTTCAGTTAATGTTGCAGATTGCGTTGTTCCTTAATCTTCTAATTGGATCCGGCTTATTATTTTTTGCACACTGTTAGAACAATTTTATATAAAGTAAACTTGAATTTTCGATTATGTCAAAAAGAGTTTCTGATTCTGGAGCTGCCAAAGGATGCAGAGATTTCAAATAATGGGAAATTTGGATACTATTATTCAATGCATTACTGTCCTGTACTTGCAGATTTGCAGTTTGTTCAAACAGATGGGAAAAATCAATTTGACAAAGCTTGGCATCTATCAAAATAATTTTAAATTTGGAAATGATAAAAAATGCAGTGAAAAGGCATTTTAATAAAAACTGAGTTACTGTGAGCCAGCTGGCATTACTTTTCAAAATGTAATTAAAATAATAATATATGTATTGCTATATAACATATTTTTGTAGCATGGTTTTTTCCAGCTTTTGTTGTGATATACAGTCCTACTATATAGATGACATATGCACAAGACACCATTTATATATTAATATTTTCCCCCCATAACAAAATAATAATTTTTTATACTTCAGATTAATAAAAAGCCTTTAAAGTTACTAAAAATTGTTTTAATAGATGCATCACAAAACACTTTTAGGCTATATTTGCCTTCAAATAGCAATACATAACACAGAAAATATTTTATTTAAAAATTCAAAGTATCATTTCATAGCACTCCCATATATAAAAATATTGTGTATAAAATTAAAATTGTGCTGCATGTCTTGACTGAAGACGTTCATCTGTCGCAAATTTGGGTGAAATAGGCACTGTTGGTTCCTTAGGGCAAGGTTTAATTTCAAGTGGTTTGTATTGCCTAATGGGATTGGCTTTATGAACAATCTCTTTTCTGAGTTGCATGATCTCTTGTCGTTCCTTTTCTTCTTCCAGTGCTTTTTGCTGAAGAAGCCTTCTTTGTTTTTCTTCTTCTTCTTGCTGCTTTATTTCTTTGAGCTGAAGTCTTTGTGATGCTCTCTTTTCTGTCTGGAGTTCAAATTCTTTGATTTCTGTTAGAATAATAATAATAATAATGATGAATTATTAATGTATTGTTCATTCATTAATAAAATGATACTGAAAAACATATTTTATAATTAATTAAGGTTGATGTTTTATTGTTGGAGCAATTCATAATATGTAGGATGTTTCCAAAGTTCTAGTAAATGAGCTTTAGTTCAACTCTGAGAACTAATAGCAGTGTAAAGACAAGCCTCAACATGCTTATGTAGCTATGTTGTGCAGCATCATTTAGTCTGATTCAGTTGTTTAACTAATATTTTTTTGGAACTCTGTTTTTAAAACCATGAAAAATGCAAAGAGTGGATGATTTTTTTTTTTTTTCTTTTTTTTTTTTTTTCCAAAAAGATGGTGTGAAACTTCAGAGACTGTTCAACATTTGCAAGGAGTCTTGTGTTCCTACATTTGAAAAAACCTAAATGGGGCATTTGTTTTGAGAGTTTAACCATGCCATAAGGACAGAATAGGAGAAAGTTCTCTGACAATGGCTTAAAAAGTTAGTTTTTTATTGAGATAAGTGTTATTCAATTAAATGGGAATTATGTTGAAAACCTGCATTTTAACCCTCTGAGCAGCACAGGCTTTTGGATCTGTCACGATGACCTGTATTTAAACAGAATTCATCAGCTAAATTTGTATAATTATTTATTTTAATCTTTTATTTTCATAAACTTTCATTCACCAAGATGACATTTACACTATTAAAGAAAGCAAAATATCTTAAACTAGTGGGAGTACCCAATGTCAGTTAAGTTAGATTGAGCGAAATGCATCTAACAATAATGAGAACAATACCACTGTAATCCTTCTCTGCTAACGATGAAAAAGAACAACTTATAGTCATATATTTTTCGGTTTGATGCAATATGGAACCCACATACAAAATTCCAATAGAAAAATTAACTAATTTTCTCTCATTATATCACCAACAATGGCATGCAATGATTTTTGTGCTAATTTCTAATGATTTTTGTCTTTCTAATCAAATGGCCATAAAAGCTAAAGTTCCATACAATATTTCACCTATATTCAATTTTATTCGATTAAATGTGACAAAAATTGATAACGCGAACAAACAAACATTGTTCTTTATATAGAGAGATTTTGTAAAAATTACAAATTTTTTTTATTAACAAACTTTATGACTTGAAAGCGAGCAGTAGCAACAATTTTCAAAACAAAGCATTTTTATCTCCAACGCACGAGACTGTTGCCACTCGGGCAACAATTAAATACAAACATACAAAGAGTGCAAAAATTAATGTTTTCGGAGTTTTTAGTTTATATCATGGCTGATTAAAGTCGTACACAGTCGAAATGGCTTCCCACAAATTTTTGAAATCAAGAGTAATGTATTTAATGTTTGACAATGCTATTATTTCATTGTAAAACTTGAAGAAAATTAGAAATTTGTTATTAACAAACTCTACGATTTGAAAGTGGGCAGTTTCAACAACTTTTGAAATAAAGCAGATTATCATCTCCAGCTTGCAAGACTGTTGTCACTGAGGAAAATGAGGGTGAAAATTAACGTTTTTTTGAGTTTTTAATAAACATTTCTAATTTTAGCTACTTTTTTTGGAAAAAAGTGGGCATCGACCTTTTCCATGACCCAGAAAAGAATTGTAGAAAGTTTCGCGATGATAGCTATAGTAGTAACAGTTATTAGAGGACAAATACGCAAACTTTCTTCTTTATATATAGATTATGAGCTAATATAGTATATCAGGTGACAAAAAAAGTGTCATGCTGCTCAGAGGGTTAATACTGATGAAAATTGTCAAAATAAAAATATACCATAATTTCCAGAAGAAAGGCCGCATGAGCCTAAATGCCACACTCGAAAAAAATGATGGGAAAAAAATTAAAATTACACAGAAACATCGCAATAGATTAAATTGCGCGTGACATCGTCGTGGGCTGTATCGATGCAAAATCTCAACATATGTCCTGATATATGACATATCAGTTAAGAAAAATGCATGAAATGAAACCATAATTCAAAAATAAATTAAAGGTAAGAAATGTTGAAAATATATTTACTTTCATGAATATATTTACATTTACCCACTAAAGAAGTCCATATTTGTAATACTCAGACTATATTATAAAAAATGTTGCAACAATGAAATATTAAATTTGGATGACAAAAGAAAATTTTAAATTTTACTTACAAGAGGAATTACAGCAAACTATACATCATATGAAGCCATCAAAATCTGATTTTTCACTATCTGAATTAAAAAGATTTAGTAAATCCTGATCTAAGTCCAAGTCTTCCAGATCGTCACATTCATCCTTTTGGTTTACAGTCTCTATCTAATTCAGCTTCTTTGAAACCTGCTAATATTGACAATGTTTATACCGATTTCCACGCACTTCCTACCCACTTTGCAACTTCTTCATAAGATGCTCTACGCATTTTACCGCTTTTGGTATACGTATGCAATCCTTAACTCTTCCAACACTCCCACCGCTTTCGGACTTCAGCTTTGAAGGATTTATTACCTGACAAATCTAATGGTTGTAAGATTTTTGTCAAACCACCAGGAATTATTGCTACAGTCGTAGACAATTTTTGACATCTGGTTTTCACTGACTCAAGTAAATGAGCACGCATGGAATCCATTATCAATAACCCTTTTGGTTGGAAAAAAGATCTCTTACGACACTGCCAAACTTTTTGTAGCCACTCACACATAATTGTTTCGCACATCCAGCCGTTCTCGTCTGTACAAATAATTATGTCATTAGGAAAATCTCCCTTCGGAATAGTTTTTCGTTTAAAAATTATTATTGGCTTTAGCTTGTCCCCGTTGTGGCACAAGCTAAAACACATGTAAATGACATTCTTTCATGCCCCGCCGTAAGCACAGATACAGTTTTTGCACCAGTTTCATCAACAGTTCTGTTTGCAGGAGAGTCGAAAGCTAACGGCGTTTCATCCATATTTATTATCTATGACTGAAGAAGTTTTTTTTTTGTCAATAATATCTGTCACATATTTTAGAAAGATGCCTTTTTATCCTGCCAGTCCATTGGTAATTGTTGCCCGACTGTTGTTCTAGTAAGCACAGAAATATTTTTTCTTTTCATAAATCTGCTACACCAGGAAAGCCCTCCTTTGAAATCATTTATGTTCATTTGTTTTGCTATAAATTTGCTCTTTAAATTACAAGGCCATCCTTGTAAGAGAATTTTTACAATTGAAATTGCCATTCCCTTTCTCGTTGGTCCTTTATCCAGTTTGCAAGGTTGTCCTCTAGATTCGGCCACCTTACACTACCACTTCTTTTGGCTCGTTTCTGTTGTGGCATATTTTAAAGTTTTTTTTTTTTTTTTCAGTTCTCCAACATCAAATACATCTCTTGTCCACTTTAAACTCTCAAGCTGCTGCTCTATTTCCAATTTGTTCAGCACATGAAATTACATTAAGCTTAAAACCAGCAGTATAGCTTCTATGCCGTTTAGGTGCCATTTTAAAAAATTTTCCACTCTCTTCTTACTTAAAAACTATCTACAAGTACTTGTACCCAAACTGATGGGATCTGTATCTGGCAGAATGCCAAGAAAAATCGATTAATGCTGAAGGAGAAATACGCCACAGTTCGTTATTGCAAGGCAGGTGGAGTCGTGTCCACCCTTAAAAAAAATTGCAGAAAAGGCGGGGGTGGGGAGAGGATGGGTCTTGGAAGATTCATCAAATGGCAGAGGAGAGAGACTATTCAAAATGATGAGAATGCTGATTTGAAAGGGGGAAGAATGTTATTGTTCTGAGATCCCGTTTAGGGTGAATAAGGCATGTAGGTCTGTTCAAGGGAAAGAATGTAAACAAAATAACGTTCGCAAAAAGCAACTGAGTGGTCTTTTGTGTGGGAACAGCACCAGTCTATGTACAATAACAAAGTTATTCAAACTATGTACAATGACCATCATAGGAAATATTTTATTTTTAGTGCACCTAAACACCGCACCCGCTGAAAATTAAGTTTAAACATGTGTTTAAGAAGTTTTAAACACGTAAACGCCGAAGCGTTTCTTCCGGAAATTATGGTATCTAATTTTCGAAAATTTTGGAAACATCCTAGGTACAGTAAAAGCTGGACTATCTAGCATCCAACTAACCAGAAAGCTAGCCGGAATATTTCAATTCCCCCTCTTTAAATGCAAAACTAAAGAAATAAGAGATATGCATCTTCTATATAAAGCCTCAATAGGACACAATTCAAATCAACTAAAAACTGTTACCAAACAGTCCCAGGGTACATACACATTTCTGCACATGAAAATTAAGTACTTTTAAGGGCTTTCAAGGACCATCAATGAAAAAAATTAAGGACCTATAAAGCAAATAGTGACCTATAAAGCTGAATAAACTATAGCAATTATCTATATTTGAACTCAATACAGTCAAAAGTCGTTAATTCGGACACCCATAATTCGGAATGATCTATAATCCGGACATCAAAACTAAAAACTTTCTGCCAATGCGCCGCGTTGACACATGCGCAGAGGCGTTCACATGTGCGCGTAAGACCTTTTACGACTGCGCATATGAGTGTGCGCAAGTGCAGAATACGTTTTCGCGTGCGCATTTTATGTATAATGGACGTATAAGCTAAATAATTATCTATTTCAGTTAATGTTGATGATTGCGTTGTTCCTTAATTTTCGAATTGCATCCGGCTTATTATTTTTTGCAGACTGTAAGAGCAATTTTATAAAAGTAAGCTTAAACTTTCGATTATATCAAATAGAATTTCCGATATATATTTGTTAATATGTAAAGGATCTAAAGCGAAAGTATGTTTTGAAATCCGAAATCTGTTTATCATTTTCACGCTGCTCAGCGGCGGGCGCCTATGAATTGGAAGTTGATTTGTCAGCACTATCCTTATCTTCAGCGCAGATGTTTTTATTTTATTTGGCTTATAATTTCCTTACCAAATGTAGTATTTCATCTCGATATGCTCCTTTGATATGATTTAAA